TGTGTTAATTTGTAGATAATAGGCTTCGAGCTTATGACATAAAACAAGCATGTTTTTATTGTTTTTCATTTTGTTTAGTTTGGATAGTGTTGTGCAATTGTCTAAATAAATTTAAAGTGGACCAACTCTAAAATTTTAAATCTTCACTTTTAGATTTGTTTAGAAAATTTTCACCCATTCTTTTAGTATATTTATATTAGTTGTTTTATGTTGTTATTCTTTGTGGTTTTCCGCAAGTTTGTCGTGTTTAGCTTGTGGAAGTGTGTATGTGTTGTAAATGATATTTAAATGTGTAAATGAGAGTAGTGTAGGTGATTGTGGAGGTTGCTTTAGAACTGCATGTTGCTGTCCTATTTTTTCTGCATCTGGTATAGCATGCTTAGCGCGTGTTTTGGCACTTAGCGCGCTCTGCTGTGATTAGCCAATGATATCTTTTTGCTTCACTTGACTCTCCTTTTTCTAACTTTCACCAAGACTTTATAGTATTAAACATTAGTATTATTTTTCTAATAATTTTTGTTTGTGTTTGGACTCCAATTTTGGTCCGGTAACTTGAAGAATTTTGAGGTGATTTTCCGATTTTGATTGATTCAACTTGCGGATGTATGGTAATGATAATTTTCAAAGTTGGTACACACCAGGTACTCGTTTATCGCTTTCTATAGCATAACATGTTTAGGAAACTTTTCATTTGTATGAATACTATACGATTCATTCTTTTTGTATTACTTGTTTTTGATTGAATCATTTTAGTTTCCTTTTTACCTATAAATGTGAGGAAGTTTTCCATTGTTCATATATGCTGAAGGCCACAATTCTGTTTTAGCTAGATTTTATTAAGCTTAATCTTTTGTTTTATGTTGATTGTATGAATGCATGAAAAGAATCAAGGCATTTTGTTTGATTTTGAGCACAACTATCTAACCAAATTGTCAATTCACCTTGTGAGTGTGTGAACTTTTGTTAACCCCTTTTGAGCCTTTTTGTCAATGTCCATGTTGTTTTTGAACTTAATGCTTGTCTATGAGTGTTTACTTTTCTTTTTTAAATAGACATTGATCCTTTGTTTTCTTGAACCCTCAACTATGATTTTTAATTTGAATTTTTGTCTTGCCTTAGAAAGTAGTGAGTATTCACTTTAATGATGGTTGAATTCAAGATGGGGAGAGAATTGTTTGCTCACTTATGTTGTGATTGCTATGCGGTTGTGAAGAAGAAAAAAAAGAAGAAAAAAAAAGAAAAGAAAAAAAAAAGAAAAGAAAAAGAAAGAAAAAAGAGAAAAGTTGTGAAAAAGAAAAACAAAAAGAGTATGGAATAATCATTGTATTAATAAGTATTCTGTTGGTTTGACAACTTAGGTTGAAATAAGAAGTTTAATTGAAATTATATTGTTTGAAACTTTGTGAGTTGATCACTCTCTTAGGTTTACGCAAGTTTTTATTTCGATTAGATTTAGAAATTATCCCTTGTTTGTTAACCAAGCCACATTACAGCCTTGAAAAGTCCTTGTGATTCTTGCCTTTATTTCAATATGAACTTTTGGATGAATGCATAATTTAGTCTTTTGTTTGGAAGATTGTTGGATGAATGTCAAAAGTCCTCACCTTTGTGTGTTCTTCATCTACCGATGAATTTTTACTAGGAGTGACTCATGGTTAAGCTTGTTTTGTTTTAGAATGTTTAGTATGATTTTTGTACTTAGGATTCATTTTGTTTATATGTTGTTGTTGTAGGATTGTGGTAATAATTTACCTTACGTGTGCACTTTTGTTTGAACTATACATTTGTTTTCCGTTTTATAAACCTGTTGATTCATGATTCTTTGGTTAGTTACTTTTGCTTCTTTAAGTTTGTTTGGCCTTGTTTAAGAACAAACAAGTTCAATTTGGGGAGAGTTTGATAAGTGTAAAATATCGTTATTTTTGTATATACTTTTTGTTGCACTTATCGACTCTTTGTTGTTATTATCAGTTGAATAAACCCGATTTTTGTGTAAATATGTATACTTTGTATATAATTGTATTTTTGATTCATGTATGTATCGTTTGATAGTTTTAATATTTTTGTGTAGGTATTTTCGCGTATTTGGAGCATCAAGGAATAAGGTGTCGAAGGCACGGCTCCGGATAGGCATTTTGGACAAAATCAAGAAATAATGAAGCTTCAGGTCGCGCTTAGCACGCTCTCAGCGCGGGTTCTGGAGAAAAGTCAGAGGCGAGCACGCTTAGCGCAGTCTGCGATTTGCAGTTTTGTATAAATAGCTCAAAACATATTTTTTTAGGTTTTATCATCACTTTCCCTCTTGGAGGAGCTCTGATCCGTTTTTTTTGTAGTCTAGAGGTTTAAGCAACATCATTGGGTGGTGAACCATGTCAATTGGTTATGGGTTGTCTCGAATCGTGTTGTCACCGTGAGAAGTTTCTTATTCATCTCCTTCTTCCCTATGTATCATTCCAATAGTGGGTTTGTATGTATATCTTTACTATTTATGTATGTACATTTATTGATCATAGGATTGTATGAAATCTATTTACCAATTAATACCAGTGTTTGTTCTTGATTTTTGCTTTATCACGGAGCTTTGGTTTGTCGCAGACATATGCTTTCCTAATCTCTTTCTTGAATGAATATCTATTAAGTCCTAGTTCTAGACATAGATTTAGGCTTAATATTCATGTGGGTATCAATTATGAAATGCATTCGGGTTGTTTGAGTTGCGTGTGAAATCGCCTTAGAGAGCAATATGGGTGATGTCTCACTTTGTGTTAGAGATAGCCTTAGCGTGAGTGATACGTGATGGTATTAACGAGTGATTTAGGTTGCATGCAATTGATCAGCAAGTTTAAGTATTTGATAGGTAAAGTGAAATGCAATTCTAGAATGAATTATTTTAGGCTGCAAATGATTGTTTATCTCTTTCTTTATTTCTTTATTTACTTTTTCCGCACTTTTTCCGCAAACCCCTTTTCAAAACTTAAAAGGGTCGAAACTGTTGAATGATAGTTTTTCCCTCTCACTAATCCATGTGGAGACGATACGATATAACCTATATATTACTTTTATAAAAATATTTACTTTTTCTTGCCGCTTTACCGCTCCAGCAGGAGGCTCAATCAAAATACAACGTCCACTCAAGTTTGCAAACATGTGTAGTATTGTTGGAAGTCCCATACTGAAGCAATGAGCCACTCCCATCTTAACCATTTCTTCTCCTCCAAAGGTCTCCCACGTCTGGCGCCATATCCACCTTGGACGGTTATAACAACTACTCTTATATAAGTTTGACTCCACATATCACCAAGAGACGATTCATTAGAAACTTGAAAGTTTCATATCTCTAACTTTGCTGACTTGAGCACTTGAGTGTTAACATTGCTGGTACACTTCCATTTCCGTCATCAGAGACATCCATTGATGCGCCATAGACCTTCCACAATTGTATTTACCATTATACCACATATTCTCTATTTTGCATCAAAATAGTGGCGCAGTTTGTTGGAACCTTTCTTGATTCTAAAAAATTCCTCACTAGATTTTTCTGATTATTTACGATGCCTCTGCCCCAACTGTTTCTCTAATCATATCTAGTCACAGTTAACCTTTACATTTGTCAGCAATGGTTTCCTCAAAAGAAAATGATACACAACCCGCCAAAAGTGATTTTATTACCAAAATGTTGAAATTTTTTCAATACATCTTGGAGAGGGGTGAGGCATCGAGGACAAAGTTAAGGAGTGTCCCATCGAAATTTTGCAGATACTCTTATAAACTGAGATAATGAGAGGGATAAATAAGTAATAATTATCTTTGAAATATTTGAGGCTATCTATATACACTGCAAAGATCATATTACCATTCCTGACCGAGATTAACCCTTTACCACTGTCCCACTCGACCAAAGTTTTTTGTATGTTGAAAAGATGGAAGAAAAATGTCATAGTTGAAGCAATATTCTTGTATTCAATCTAGTATTAGGAGACTTTAACATAATCCCAACTCACATAGTGTGGTTGTGAATGGACGATCCATAAATTATTTTTAATCACAACCTCAAAATTATTAAAGGGGGGCATAAACCCCAACAGAGAGGAGAAACACTCATGTATGGGAATAAACACTTGACATATTAACTACATAGTCGTTTGTCGCCTTTAGGATGAAGTATCTCCTAATCAAAAGAATGACTTACTTTTTGGTAGACGATCTCCAACCTATATTCTTTGGTGAAGACAAAAGTCGTTCCTAAAGTATTTTGATCTATCCAAGAGAATTGGCCAGCATTTGTAGGAAGCTCAACATCTTGTTGGGCCCTATGTACCAATTTGCATTAGTGTCAACATATAAAAAGTTATGACCACGAGTAAGGGCTTGCAACTGCAATTCAACCCATCACCTAACTTCGTTGTTAGTAGGGTCACATCCGAAAGATCTCTCACGGGTTTTAATATAGGTTTGGGCCATCCACTCATTCTTCATGTCAACTACGTATGCTAGGTTCGGCAAGACCAAAACTGATAGGGTAAATCCTCTAGCAACCTCTCTGATGTCAATCCCAATGGGAGAATCTCCCCTCACCTCAATAATATCAATCTTTAGGGTTCGTTTTAAAACCCATGCAAGATAAACCACTTTAAAAAGTTTTATTTCCAGGACCCTAGCTCTAACAATCCCTCTAAACTCTACAAAGTTTGCCGATGGGTTCTTAACTTTGCCACACGACACTTTTGAATTGACCAGGTCTACTATTTTCAATTTATAGGAAACCAATAGTGATGTAATCAACGACCAAGAACCAAAGAAATGGAAAAAGTCAAGACTAATGACCCAAATGAAACCTTAATTCCTAACGACACTCAAGTGCACTTGAGCATCCTAAGGGTCCTCTACGTCTGGTCGACATGTTTTAATTCCTATGACATGTTTTTTAATTAATACATTACCTTATTTTGATATGATAATGTTTGAATTAAATTATAGATTATGACACTGCTAGGATTAAAATGACTTCGGATTCTAAAAATACAAACTTAAACATTGTTTTTGCCCACATTGATACAGAAAAGTTTTCGGAGATGCGTATCCAAAATAATATTTTTCGGAAATGCATATCCGAAATAACAATTTTCAGAGATGTATATTCGAATACACCTCAAAAATATTTACAGATGTATCTCCGAACTAAATTTTGACAAAAATAATTCATAGTGTATTCAGTGATGCATCTCCAAAAATTTCTGAAGACAATTTTAAGTTTTCAGAAGTGTGATTCACACAGCTAGGGTGGTGGAAAAAGAAATTGTCTTTTTACAGATGACATTTTAACTGTATCTCAAAATGTAAGCCGTCTAGCCAACATCAGCAGAAAATAAACTCATCCTCTCTACCGGAAAACACTCCAGACCATTCAGTGACTCGGTGTCAAGATCCTTTGCTCCTGTGCACAATTTCTGCTGCATTGCAATCACTCGATATGATCAGCTCTCTCCTTCCAAAAAGTTGCACTGCTGTCAACAATTGAATAGCATTTTTAAGTCACATTGAGGTCTAGCTTATCTGAATATATGTGTATGCATTAAGTGCTTATTTTCAAAGTGCTTATCAGTAAAGGAAAATAAGGGATCATGATATGCTAATAGCATACATTCTTATAGCAATGAGATTAGCATTCAAACAAGAAATTCGTGTTCCAAGAAGCAATTATACCAATGGCAAATGTATATTACAAAATTATTGAAAAAACTATGAATCCTCAATTAACAAAAGATGCGTTAAATTTAAAACATGGGAGTAAACACAGTCAGCGTCAAATTATCTGCTGTAAAACTTTCACTATTCATCTCTAATTTATAAATTCAATCAAAATTTAAAGCATTCAAGAACTTAGTTTCAATAACCAATCAACATTAAATAAGAAAGCAAGTATTCAAAGCTGAGAAAACTACTTTCATATCTGAAAGAGGTAAAATCACTACTTACATTCTTTTGTTATATATACTTTGATTGTATATCTCTCTCTCTAACCCTGTTAACTCCACGAGGTCGTATTGCATAGAAAGTCTTGCGACAGTAGTTTGACTCATAACCCCTTTCAGATGTAACACTTTCAATAGATTAGCTGCTAAATCCATTTCTTCTTTAAAAGCAAGCCCTTCAACAAGAATGCAATATGTCATCTCATTAGGCATACATCCTTTGTTGACCATCATCTGTAATATCTCTATTGACAAATCTATTCTCTGAGATTTGCAAAATCCAAGAATAAGAGCATTATAGTTGTCAGCCTGAGGCACATAGTCATGGTCTTCCAAAATTCCGAATATCTGGAGAGCCTCATCAAGCATTCCCTCCTTACACAATCCTCTTATCAAAGACGAGTAAGTATAGCAGTCTGGTGTAAATCCATGCATCGTTATTTCATATAATATATGAAAAGCCGCATATGTATTCCCTTTCCTACACAAGAGTTTAATCACATTTTGGTAGAAATCATCAATAGAATAGCTTTGTTTTTTATGCAAGTTATCGAATATTGAGAAAGCCTCCTTCACCTTCCCTTGCTCACAAAGCAAGGCAATAGCATTGTACGTTCCTCCATTAAGATGAGAACGCCGATTAGCCATTTGGTCTAGACACTTAACAACAAGATCTACCTTTCCTTCCTTGGAGAGACGAGCAACAATTGGATTATAGCTATTAGCAGTCACCTTGAATCCATTCTTTGCCATTTCATCTAAAACTCGGAAAGCCTGTTCAATTTTTCCATCAATAGAAAGATAAGTGATCAATATGTTGTAAGTAGCTCCAGAAGGAGTCTGGCCCTCTCTATTCATCCTGGCTAAAAGCTCGTACGCTTCCTCCCATCGCCCTTCAAAGCACAAACTTCTTAACAAAATATTATGACTCACAACACAAGGTTTAAACCCTTTTGCAGGCAATTCTTGAAAAAACTTAATAGCTTCTTCAATTCTACCTTCCTTACACAACCCAGTCAACAACACATTGTAGCTAACCAAATTAGGCTTACCGCCCTTGGCAATTATCTCATCTAGCAGCTTCATGGCTTCATGTACTCCCCTTTCCTTATAAGTAGCTTCAAGCAAGATAGATAATGTAACTACATTTGGGACAAGACCCCTCTTTATCAACCTATCTAAAATATGCATACTCTGATTCAATTTCCCATACATACAAACCCCTTTAACCAAAGTATTATAGGTAATAGTATTAGTCAAATAACCATTGGCTTCCATCTTTTCAACCAATTGCATTGCATAACCAACATTACCTCTCCTACACAAATAATTGACCAAATATGTATACGAAGAAGCTTCAGGTGTAACACCTGAAGTTACCATAATCTCCATAACCCTAACAGCTTTTCTAGCTTTACCAGACTTACAAAGATCATACAAAAGCTGAGTTGCTTGAGTCACCTCAGGTTTATTACCCTTACCCACCATGTGCTCGAAATAAAGAAATGCATCACTGATTCTACTATCCTTGCTCTTATAGTCATCCTTCCCATCTCTCCAATTTGGCAGTCTAACAACATAACCTTTTGAGGGAATTGTCATATGGGTCGAAGCCAAAACTCTTGAAGAACAATTTTTCTTGAAAGGAAAACTGCCATAGTTAAGATTCTGAACATGGGTAGTTAAGAAACCGCGTCTGTTTCTTTTTGACTTTAAGGGTAAATTTGAAGTTAGAGACACTGTATTCAATAGTGTGGTCATGGTTGAATGGAATGATGCAGTTTTACAACTTACAATACAAAAAACAACATGCTTTGTTTGTTCTACTTGGCAATTATACATACAGTTTCAATGCATTAATTTTGATGACGAAGCTAAAGAATGATGCTAGAGAAAAATGAATTGAATAAGAATTGAGAGAGGGGAAGAATTTCGAACCCGAGATGAATTCAGCACCGTCTGCCACGTTTTTTGGTTGTTATCCTAACCTCATGCGGAAATGAAACTGTGATATCATGTTTTTTACAAGAACAGACACAGGCCAAGCCCACGGGCCAATGCTGAATGGGCTTTCTTTTCTACTCATCGCTCCTGGCACCTACCCCATGTCAACATCCCACACTAATTCTTAAAAACTCAATTTAAAACACTTTCATAACTTACCTTTATTAATTTCATAAATCTCTATAAATTTCAAAAATATGAGAAAATGTTCACATTTATTGATCGAAAAGGTTGAAATTGTATAAAAAATTTCAAACAAGTTGATAAATCATATAGTTGCTTGCTTCTAATTTAAAACACTTTCATAACTTGACCTTTTTTGAGTTTTGTTTCACCTCTGCACGACTGCTCTAACCTCCCTCATGCCTTGGCTTGCTTCTGTATATGTAATACAACCTATTAGGTCAACACAAACGACCTCAATCTTGCTCATCATGGAGATTTGATTTGGTCTTTTATGGCATATGATTTCTTTTCAATTTTGCTCAAATCCAATCTTTTTCCAACCAAATTGGCTTTGCACGAGTTGATTCTCCATTGAAAGCATATAAGATCTTCTTTTAATGCAAAAATCATCCCTAAAACACAATATATGATTTATTAGGATTTATTTGATTTTATTTGAATTTTAAATGAATAAAAATCAAAATAAATAAAATAAATGAATAAATAAAGCACGGAGGGTCCCATAGGTCGTGTATTATGTTATCATTGAAGTGCAAGCATAAAAAGTTGGGCCCATTTAGCAAAAAATGCAAATTTGAGCACATTTGACTTTTGGCAATTTTGCAAAAAGGTCAACTTGGCCAATGCATAACTCTCTCAATTTTGACCCTAGAGAGGTGTTCTTGGACTTTTTAGAAATCTCAGGGTGTCCTATAATCAACCCTTTTGGTCTCATCTCAATTTAGTCTTCTATGTTCATGTATGAAGCTTTGATCCAAAAGGTGTTTTTGTTGACTTTCCAAAATGACCTATAATGTCAAAATTCATATCTTTTTGTGAGTGAATATTTTGAACTTGAGAGATGAATATGAATTGTAGGGAATTGCATCCTCTTAAAAATGAGATTTGGATGGGTCATTTTTGATAAAGTATGAGAAAGTTATGCTTGGTCAAAGTTTGAGTTGACTTTTCCTACAAAATCCTAATTTAGCAACTTTTGGGTTTTGATGAATTATGGGCAATCCTTGATGAATCATGATCAACCCTTGATAAAATGATGAATGATAATTCAAAATTAGGATGTTGACCAAAAAACTTGAAGTTTGACTGTATGTGGGCCACAATTGACTTTTGACCTAGCACATTCGATTTCCAGGTATTTGAGCAATTGACTGAGAAAACTTCCTCTGCAAGGCTTGAAACTTGACATGGATGATCTTGAGAACATATTGGGACAATGGTGAGAATTTGGGATCCTTTAGACTCAAACATCTTTATGCAAAATGAAACCCTAATTTGAGGTAGACTGCCTTAGGAGAGAGTTTGTCTGGTCAACCCTTGGACTTCCTTGAGCAATTTGAGGACCTCACTTGACATGTATTGAGAAATATGGGAGGGTAAATTTTGGGATACAACAGAAAGGGTGCTAACACCTTCCCTTTCTATAATCTACCCCCCGTACTCAGAAATATCTCAAAAAAAGGTTTTTTATGTTCTTTTTCCTTTTCCATGATTGGATGAAATGAAAGTCGGTGGCGACTCTTGCTTACTGTGACATTTTGCAAACAAAAAAAGCAAAATGCAAACCAGTAAAAATAGTCGGTTCTGCCACCATATCACAGAACTGGAGACTCTGCTGGGGATAATAAGTGGGGTATACCTTAGGATCTAGGTTATTAAAATTGCTTCTCTTGATTGTCTTGATTGCTTTACTTTTGAGGTTTTGTTTGGGGTTACTATAGATCCTACACCCGGATTTGGGGGCACTCATTAGGTAAACATCAATAGATCGTGGAGACTGTACGGCGTAGACCAATATGGTTTAAGCGATGGCTATGTTGGTGTGGCACTTTGGTTGGGACCGGTATCCTTCATTGGGAAACAAGGAGAATACGGGACCGCCGCGTGGTGTCGTGAAGCACTAACGGACCTTAGAACCTTAGTTGAACAAACTTGGCCATTAGAAAGTAGTGAGATAGCCGGCCTCGGTGTAGATCCGAGGATTGGTTGATACTCGATGCTACACTCATTGAGATCAGACTTTCAGGATATTTCGGCCGCAAGAAAAGATTGATTAAGCTGAAATAATGCCCGATAAAGGATGGTCAGTGATATTGAGATCCTCTAGAACCCAGTTACTTTTTAAGACATGTTTGAAACCAACTAAACTTCAAGAGGGTACTACCTTTGACCTCATGCAAGCCTTAAACCTAAGGACTTTGTGTGATTTGACTGTGCTTGCTATACTTGTGTTTGCTATACATGTGTTTTATCATGACATCATGCATCATAACATAGCATCCATTCTTATTGCACTAACCATTTCAAAGACCAAGGGAATTTATCTTTGCCCTGTTTTGCAGATCAAGGCTTCTGTTCGTAGAAACACTATCCGAATCAGCTTTGTGAATATACCTTCCCAACTCAAAGAGCTAGCATCAAGGATTTCTGAAACTTCTGCGTTCACCAAGAGACATGGTCGACTTCTTAACCTGGTTACTTCAAACTTTGATGAAAAGATGATGAGTGTACTTTTTCAGTTCTTTGATGCTAAGCACCACTGCTTCACCTTTCCAGACTATCAGTTGGTACCTACCTTGGAAGAATTCTCTCAGCTGTTGGATATACCCATTCTTGAGCAGTTACCCTTCACAGGTTTAGAAGAAGCTCCTAAGCCAGAAGTCATTGCCTCAGATTTGCACCTGAAATGGGCCGACGTGGTATCCAATTGGGAAACAAGAAGCAAAGTCAAGGGTTTTCTAGCTAAGTTTCTGATAGACAAAGCTCAGCTGTTTTGGGATGATATGGATTTTCAGGCTTTCGAGGAGGTCTTGGCTCTTCTAATCTATGGGTTAGTCCTATTCCCTAATCCGGGCTCATTCGTAGATGTGAATGCTATCAAGATCTTTCTCTCTCGCAACCCGGTGCCTACTTTGCTCGGAGATACTTTGCACACTCTCCATACTCGTACCATGAAGAGAAGAGGGATTCTTATGTGCTGTATGCCATTGCTGTCGAGGTGGTTTATTTCTCACCTCCCTGAGTCTATACTGAAGAATGAAGAAGGTTTGGGTTGGTCGCAAAGGATAATGTCGCTCGCTCATACGGATATTCTCTGGTGTTCTCGAGCTATATAAAATACTGCTATTATTGATCGCTGCAGAGAGTACCCTAATGTCCCGCTACTTGGAATCAGAGGGGGTATAACCTACAACCCTTGTCTAGCTCTGCGACAGGTTAGTTACGCTCGAAGGGATGGTCCCCACGAGTTGCTTATCGAGGGTATTGTATTCAACTATGAGGATGATGTCAAAGAGTATCGCCGGAGGTTCATACGAGCCCGGGGCATGGTAAACAGGTCTGGCACCAAGACTTTGGGGCCAAAAACTTCCATTCCTATGGAACCTTACCTCCAATGGGTACGAGCTCGTGCCCAGAATATTATGATGCCCTATGTGGCCATTTTACCAGTGATTGTGGAACCCACTACTGAAGAAGGTATTCCTTACACGGTTCTCTATCCTTATATGCCCACTGATCTTGGGGAATTACAGAGGTCTTGGATTCTGTTGATGAAGGAGCGGGATACTCACAGAGATCAATTCCATGACCAAGAGAGGAAGGTTTTAGAACTCACAAAGCAACTCCATGAAGAAAGAGGACTCAATGACTATCTCGGCACAAAGAGGAAGCATCCATGGGAATTTTGATGTCTTTTATAGTTTCAGATTTATTTTTAATTGTAATGCCTTAAAGGCATTTGAACTTCAAATTCAGCTAATAAAGTTTTTGTTTATTTTGGTTTGCAAATTTAAATTTCCAAAAGTCTTTGAAATCATTGCATGCGCATCCCATTATCATGCACATCATTACAGGTACCATTACAGGTTTCTCATCTTCTTCGTTGTTTATTTCAGCACGAAATGTCTTCCGAGCAAACCATCAAGGACCTTCAGGCCCAGAACGCCCAGTTCCAACAAATGTTCATAAGTCTGGAACAAGGGCAGGAGGATCTGAAAACCCTCATCCTGGAAGAGAAAAAGAAAAAGAAGAAGGTTGTTGGTATTCTGAATATGGGCAGAAGGTTTGGAGAGCGGTTGAAGCGACAAACTGATCTGACCTCTTCATCTAAGGAAGGGGAGAATCAAGAAGAAAAAGAGGACCCCAGTCCTGCAGTTTCTGACAATGATATCAATTACAATGATGAGCAATATCCTCCTGCTGAGGATAGATACAAGCAGTTAGAAGATCGTCTGAGTTCCATGGAAATTCAGAGGATACCTGGACTAGATTTCAAAGAATTGGGATTGGTGTCGGGAGTGGTCATCCCGCAGAAGTTCAAAGCTCCAGTTTTTGCTAAGTATGATGGGGTGTCCTGCCCAAAACTCCATCTCCGTTCTTATTTCAGGAAGATTCAGCCTCACACCGCTAATAGGAACTTGTGGGTCCATTTCTTTCAGGACAGTCTGTCTGGGACTCAGCTTGAATGGTTCTATCAACTAGAGGGAACCAATATCCGTAACTGGGAAGATATGGATGCTGCTTTTTACAAGCAGTATCAATATAATGCTGACCTTGCCCCTACACGTACT